AATCAAGGCACACTGTACCCCTGGTACAACCAGCCAAGAGTACACCATGTCCTGGGAACCCAAAAGCTAGTGCCTAGATGACATTAAAATCCAAAGACCCCTTGTGCATGTTGCTCATTGAAGCTATAATGACAATCTTTTTTGCTTTATACTCTAAAATGCCATTTGCTGACTTTAAAACAAAGAACTCTTGCATAATGATGTATTTGTATGGACAGAGTCCAGGTTGTAGCACATGCATTTCAGCAGAAATGAATGTTGACTTAAACCCTGTCCTTCTAAGCAGGCTGCTGCTCCTGCTAGCCAGGAAGCTGGCATCTCTGTTCCTGTGGAACATATGGAGATTGTTTCCAAAGAGACGAGGGTCAGGAAAGGCTGGTGTGTGTGTGTGTGTGTGTGTGTGTGTGTGTGTATACATGGAAGCTAGAGGACACTGAGTATCCTGCTCTAATATATACGACCTTATTCCTTTAAGATGGGGTCTCTCATCGAAGCTGAAGCAAGGCTGGCAGCCAGCAAGCCCCAGGAATCCTCTCGTCATGCCTGACATGCCCAGCTTTTTGTGTATGTGCTGGGATCTGAACTAGGGTCCTCAAGCTTACTCAGCAAGCTCTCGTCCCCACTGAGCATGACTTCTGTGACTCTGTACTATTGACAATGAGCTGGTCCAATTGTTTTTTTTTTTTCTTTGTTTTTTGGTTTGGTTGTTGGTGGTGGTGGTGGGTTTTTTTGTTTTGTTTTGTTTTTGAGATAGGGTTTCTTTGTGTGGAGAGTCCTGGCTGCTCTTGAAGTCACAGAGATCCACCGACCTTTGCCTTCAGAGTGCTGGGATTAAAGGCATGTACCACCACTGCCCAGCCGAGCCGATACAACTCTTACTTACAAGGCCACACGTCCTGTGGGATGTCAAACATTAGCAGCATCAGTGATCTCCACTTTCTAGCTTCAGATGCACTAGAATCAGAACAATTAAAATTGACTCCAGATGTTGCCCTGAGGCAGGATGGAGCGGAAGGGCCCCCGGCTGGAGCCTGTTTAGTCATGTGAGCTCTTGATTGCTACTGATGCAATGATTCAAGCTCTTGTCGTAGAATTCTAGAGACAGAAGTTCTATGGGCTCCTCTTTCAGAGCCAGCAGCCTGAGTACTCAAGCCTGCTTTCCTTCTTGTCTTCCCATCCTTCTTCCCTCTCTTCCCTTCCCCTCCTCAGTGTCTTCCTCCCTCCATTTCCAGTGCTGAGGGCAGAATCCAGAGCCTGGTCATGCTATGCAAGCCCTCTCATAATCCCTAACTCTAAATATTTCTGTTCAGAGTTCCTGCTTCCTCTGTCTCCTCCCTTCTTTTCTCTACCCTTCTACCTCCTATGGATGGATGGATGGATGGATGGATGGATGGATGGATGGATAAACAGGGTTTCTCTGTGTAGCCCTGGTTTTCTTGGAACTTCCTGTAACAGGAATTGTTATGCAGGGCCTAGGAAGAGGTGCTGGGGTGGAGGTAGGAGGTGATAGAGGAGAGAAGGATGGTCAGGATGGAATAGTAGCTGGCATTTTCCAGCCCCAATTCTATTCCAGGCATGGTAGGGCTGAGGGGCTGGTCTCCCTGTGGTAGCTACTGTTTGCTGTCTGCTGATTCACAAGCAAGGAAATGACCCAGGGAAGGTCTTCTGGAGGAAATAAACGCTGAGCTTGATCCTGAAGGGGACAGACAGGTATGGCCCCTGTGAGTACTCTAAGGCACTCTAAGCAGCAGGACCTGTGGACACGAAGGTAGGGACATTCAGCAAGCTCATGTAAATGCTGACTGATTCTGGGCTTAGAAAATGGGAGTCTGATGGAGAAAGCCAGTGTGGATATCCTGGTTCTTTTATTTTGACACAAAGTACTGTTTCTCTTAACTGTTTGCAGTTTATCTGTGAGCCCTTAGTGTATGCTGAGGCCCTGGATATTAATGAGACCCCACTTGATGCTTCATTTCCTGATTCCTGATGCTGCCCCTCCCTCACTCAGAAATACATAGAACAAACCAGAAAAGTGTTTGGGTCACACCAATCAGGTACTGCACAGTGTTGGTACCATCGGGGTCCATTATGGCCTGCTCCATGAAGTCTGCTGTTTAGGACAAGGTCCACCTCTAACAGCAGAGCCTGCTTCCAAGCCCTGGCCAAGGGACACAGAGCTCTGCCTAATGTGGGCTTTCCTTCTCTTTCCCAGGACAGGGTTTCTCTGTGTAGCCCTGGCTGTCCTGGAACTAGCTCTGTAGACCGGGCTGGCCCCAACTCACAGATCTGCCTGCCTCTGCTTCCCGAGTGCTAGGATTAGAGGCATGTGCCACCACTGCTGGATTCTTAAGCTTTCAATTATGGGTTTGTCCGTGGTTTTTGTTTTTTTCTTTTGAAACAGGGTCTTTCATAGCCAGGCTGGCCTCCAGTTCCCTCTGTTGGGGGCAGTGATCGTGAACTTCTGACTGTCTTGCTTCTTTCCTCCCTAGTTCTGGGATAGTGAGCATGATTTATGAAGTACTGAGGTGAAACCCAGGGCTTTGAGCCTGTTTGACAAGCATGCTATCGGGCCGCATCCCCAGTGCTGGTTTTTCATTCCAAAGAAACTGAGAAACGAGTCCAGGGCTCAAGACATCATAGACAAACTGGGTGCTGTTTATGGTGCAGTGTCTATGTCTGGGTGCAGCCGCTATTGGCCCAGCCAGAGACGGTGTCTCCCAGAATCTCCTGCAACTTAGTGAGACCATGTGATTGATTGCATATGAAATATGGCCCAAATAACTTTGCACCACTTCCAGGCCCACTCAGAGGCTCACTTTCCACACCCTGGTCAGGGCGAGCTGATGACATTTCCACATCATCACAGAGCACCTGTGTGTACCTTCTCTGAGCTTCAGGGAGGGCATGGGCTCCATCACCTGACACAGGATCCCAGCACTCTGTGCCTTCCTTCAGTCACCTGCCTCCAGCTATTCTTATTCAACCTATTGCCGACTTGTCCCCTGCCAAGTGATCCACTCCTCCTTCAGAGCTGCCTCAGTCTCCCAGGAGGCAGATGCTATTTGCTTCATTCTACAGGGGAGAAAGCTGAGGAACAGAGAAGTGTAGTGACTTTGCCTAATATAGTCTTTATTTCCTTAACTCAAACACCCTGGAGCAGCTAGGAACCTCCCCTGGGAATTTCTTAGAAATGCAAACTGGGAGTCTCACTCCAGACCTCCTCAAGGAAACCCCAGGGTGGTCTACAATCAGGGGCAAGCAAGCCATACTGGGGGCCACAGATGTTAGAACCACAACCTACACTCACCTCTGACTCTTCAGCCTGTGAAATGTTTCTCTGAGCTTAACTACCATTCTGTAGTGACTCAACCTTTTTCTTTCTCTGAAGCTTTGTAGTCTGTACCCATAGACCCTGATTGCAAGAGTTTAGTCAGATACTCTTTAATTTGTGTAGGGTGTGTGTGTGTGTGTGTGTGTGTGTGTGTGTGTGTGTAGGTGACTATGGAAGTTAGAGAGGACACTGGATCCTCAGGAGATGGTGTGGCATGGGTGAGCAACCAGATACAGGGCCAGCCCAGGATTCTGAAGCTCTTTCCCCTTCCACTTCAGGGTCAAGTGCTCTCAACCTGTGTGGGGGAGGGGAGCATGGCCCCCTCCCCCACACAGGCCCTCATCCAACAAGCTTTTAAGGCTCAAACCTACGGTCACCCCAGACTTAGATCCTGTGACACCCTGGGATCCTGGAAAACTGATTTCCACAGGTGCCTCTTCCTCCAGCCTTCCCAAAGGCTGTTGCTACATGGTTGCTATGCCTGATCCTGGAGTTTTTCTCCTTTACACTAGAACTTAAGGTAAAGAAGGAGCCCAAAACTACAACTCGATCCTGCTGTGCACCCCTAGGTTCCTACCTGCGGTTCCTAAGAGGAAATTAACAGCTGCCAGCCCTGTGGATGACAAGACCTCTTGGGACGAGTCTGACTCGTGCAGGATAAAAGGTTTGAAAATATGTTTGTGAAACAGTCTGGCAAAAGCCATACAGGAAAGTCACAGCTAACAGACTCAGATCCTCAAAAGAACCCAATTCTTTGGAACTAAGAGTCGGCCCCCTCTCACCTCCCCGCCTCCAGCCCCACTTCTAGCTCCCTCCTGCCTTCCTTTCTCAGGAACTGCAGAGAGGTGAAGAGCTAAGGTCGAGGTCTGAACACGGCCTGGACCCACTCCTTCTATTGGCTTCATCCTCCTCACAGCGCAAACAGCACTTTCACCGGGAAGTCTTCCCAAAACTTCACTCTTAACCCCTACACTCACAGTCCTTGTCTACTTTACATTCCCTACCTAGCCTCTGGGAGTCAGGGGGCCTCTCTGGATCTTGGCTTTCTCCTCCGTAAAATCTGTTCAGCGGTCCCAAAACAGGGAGCGCCTCATTACGGAGGAAGCAGGAATACGCCCCCAAGGAGAATCCCCAAGTCAGATCTCACTCCTCCGAAACACGCGATCAGTCACACACAGGGCGCAGCTGGGCAGGTTTCCCTCAGTCCCCTTAGCCGACACAAGCTAGTTTTGGCCCGGGGCTTACCCGGGAGATCCCCGCCCCCGCGCCACCAACTGCATATGAATGCTCAACCCCTTGGCGCACAAGTCTCCAACGCCTGCCAACACCCCAACTCCCTCAACCAACAATGCTGCAAGGGCGTATGCTGTACGTCTGCTGCACAGACCTCGAGGTTCTGGGAACTGAAGCCCGCACAGGCCTCTAGTGTGAGGAACCCCGTGAGGGAAATGTTACTTGGGCGCTTCGGGGGGGACAGGTGGGCTCCCTGAGACACAGAAGAGACCCGGGCGGAGGCCCGCGTGCACTGCTTGGTGCAACCAGACCGGCGCTCAGCGCTTGCCAGCGTCTTCCACTCCTTCCTTTACGGGCGCAGAGTCCCGGAGGAGCTCAGGCGCCCCGGGCCACTGCAGCAGGACGAGCAGGCACCCCATTCAGCCCCGTCACCTACCTCTCACAGTGGGGCAGGCGCGACAGTCGCTGCCCACGGCCGCAAGGATACCGAGGAGCTGGCAGAGGCTGGCGACCGGGCGCTCCAGGGTGCAGGGCGGAGGAGAATCCCGAGGCACGAGCGCAGGCGACAGAGAGCCAGGCCCACAGCCGCAGTGGGGCGCCTGGAGACGGCCGAGCGCAGGAGCCGAGCGCGGGCTGGAGCTGTGGCTGCTGCCGCTGGGGTTGGAGCCGGAGGCTGGGACCAGAGGTGGGGCGGGACTGACGCACGGGGCGCACGCCCGGGCTCACGTGGCCACCCCCGGTGGCCATCACCTCCCTGCAGCCGCCGCGTTGTCTTCTGGCTCCCCCGCCTGTTGAACGCTTCCTGAGCGTCTGGGTCTAAAGCCGGTTACTGTGCTGTGTGAGCCTCTTTTCCAAGCAATAACATAAAAGGCTTTTATCAGAAAATCTTTAGGATTTCTTTACTTCTCTTTTGAAGAAACTTAAGACACTTTCCAAGAGAGGAAGGGATAACAAAAGAACCGGAGAGGGCGAAAAAACAAAAATTGTGTTGAAAACTCATAAAGAATCCAAATTCATGGTAAGCATATATGTATTTAATATTTACATATAAATATAAGTATATAAATTTATAAATGTATATGTAAATATTTAATATATAGCCTATATATTTTGTTTAAATTTAATATTTATATATAAACATATTTGATTTAAATTTAATATTTATAAACAAACATATATTTGATTTATACACACACACACATATATATGTATATGTATATGTATATATGTTTAGGCCCAGTCTGGCCTACCTGACAATTCCAAGTATTTCTGTAATTTTTAATTAATATATCTTCATCAGGGCTGGGTGGTGGTGGCACATCCCAGCACTCAGAAGGCAGATGCAGAAGGATCTTTGTGAGTTCAAGGCCAGTCTACTCTACAGAAGGAGTTCCAGTACAGCCAATGCTGATACACAGAGAAACTTTGTCTCTACAAAAAACAAAAAAGAAAAATCTTTGTCAGTCCTTTCTGGACTCTCTGGAGGGAAGTTATTCAGCGTTAGTTATTCCTAACTCTGAGACTAGGGCATGGCACATAGTGTTTAATCGGTGGGAACTTGGGCAGGGTGGAAGACTCCTGCAATCCCCAGAAAAACAAGGCCAGCCTGGGCTACATACTAAATCCCTTTCTCAAGACCAAAGCAGGTGCAATGAATGGAAGAAAGATAGCACTGGGAAGATGTGAAGACTGAAAACCAGTGGAGACAGCCATGTATACTTTGATGTCACAGTCGCACATTTTGAGCTATTTGTCCATCCAGCTGCAGTCAGCTGTTATAAGGTATGCAGGCATCACTAGCTCGATTGTACAGATCATAGGACTGAGGCTTATAAAGAACGTGTCTTGCCCAGGGACACAGTCAGGAAATGGTGTGATTAATTTAATAAAGCAATTGTTAGAAGACAGACTGACAGGAGAAACACCATAACATCTATTCTACCACAGGCTTGTCTGGCCTGGGCCTTCAGATTAAAGACCTGAAGACCTGAACCACCTTGGAGTTCTACCAGCAAAAACACCAGATATGTCCTCTTCACTTTGTACCTCCAGAACCATGAGCCAAATCCAGCTTTTAAAAATTACTTATTTTGGGCTGGAGAGATGGCTCAGAGGTTAAGAGCACTGTCTGCTTTTCCAGGGGTCCTGAGTTTGATTCCCAGCAACCACATGGTGACTCACAACCATCTGTAATAGGATCTAGTGCCCTCTTCTGACCTGCAGGCATACATGCTGTATACATAATAAATAAATCTTTAAAACAAAATTACTTATTTTGTGTGTATGGGCGTTCTGTCTGCATGTCTAAGAGTGTCTGGTCCTCCAGAACTGGGGTTACAGTTGTCAGCTGCCATGTGGGTGCTGGGAATCAAAACCAGGTCTTCTTGAAGCACAGCCAGTGTGTTTACCGCTCAGACAATGGTTCTCAACCTGTGGGTCACAACTCCTATGTGGGGGTCGAATGCCCCTCTCACAGGGGTTGCCTAAGACCATTTGCATGTGTCAGATATTTACGTTATAATTTATAACAGTAGCAAGATTACAGTTACAGATTAAGTTATAGTTGAAGTAGCAACAAAAATAATTTTATGGTTGGGGTCACCACAACATGAGGAACTGTATTAAAGCGTCAGGGTCACAGCATTAGGAAGGTTGAGAACCGATGCTCTAAGAGACTTATCCACTCCTACTCATATGTTTTGTTGTTGTTTGAGATAAGCTGGCCTCTACCTCCCTGTGAGCTTCATGCCTCTGCTGAGTGGCCATTCTGATAAACCTTTCTTTGTAAATCATCCAATCTGTGCCCTTTAGGATTTGACAATTTGACACAAACCTAGGTCATCTGGAAAGAGGAAACCTCAACTTAGAGACTGGCCCGTGGGGCATTTTCTTAATTAATGATTGATTTGGAAGGACCCAGTTCACTGTGGTGCCACCCCTGGGCAGGTACTTCTGGGTATTACAAGAAAGTAGGCAAAGCAAGCCAATAAGCAGCAGCATTCCTCTGTGTCCTCTCCTCTGCTTCAGTTCCTGCTTCCAGGTTCTGCTCTGACTTCCCTTCGTGATGTATGCTTTAAGCTGAATTAACTACCACCACCACCACCACCCCCAGGGTGCTTTTATCACACCCTGGTGGTCATGGTGTTTTATCACAGGAACTGACAGTCTGATATTGAGATACTGGTAACAAAAGGACCTAACACAGAGACAATAGTACTCCTCATAACTCCCATCACGACCTTCTAACGTCCTCTGCCTAGCACACAGAACAGGAAATGACTTTCCCAAGCTTACACAGAGGCAAGGTTTGGTCCAGTTCTGGGTCTATGCAGTTCCCTTGTGTCCTGTAAGCTCTTTGGTGTTTGAGAGCAGTAAGCCTGTTCTCCCAAGGCAAGTCGGGGCTTCAGGCCTAACCCTGCTGTCACATGAACATTTCCTGCAAAGAGTTTGACTCCCCCCATCCCCTTTCTTTCACGAGATAGGATCTCTCTACACAGCTCTGTTGTGGACACTCACTCTGTAGACCAGCGCTTCTGCTGGGACTAATGGCGTGCACCACAACACCAGACAAGTTTGATTTTCTTGATTAAGATCCCATGTTGCTACATGAACTCAGAAAGACAAATGCTTCTTCCTGGAGCTGCCCAACATGACAGCTCAAAGGGCTTGTGTCCCATCTGGCCTGCCCTTCTGGACGATTAGCCCCACAGCATAGGGAGCTGTTCCACCACTCCCAGCTAGATCCACATTTTTGATGTCCACCTTCCAAATAGATTATGATACTGAGTATGTTTTCCGGTATCCCTCAGATATTCATATGTTACTACAGAACCTAGCAATTCCACTCCCAGTTACATGCCTAAGGGAAAGAGAATGTGCACCATGCAAAAGAAATTGGGGGTGTTGATAAGATGGCTCAGGAGGTAAAGGCATTTGCTAAGCCTGACACACAAGCCTGAGTCCATCTCTGGGACTCACATGGTAGGAGACAACTAATTCCTGCAGGATATCGTCCAGCCTCAACGTGCACACCGTAGTATGTGTGCACTTACCTAAATATATGCACATACACAAAATAAATTACTGTAATTAAAAAAAAGAAATTAGAATAGATGCTCACATTTAAAATACAACAACAAACCCAACTATGTATGGATCTGGATGGGGTGGCACATGCCTGGTATTTTAGAAGTCAAGAAGCTGAGGCTGAGGGCTGAGGAGATAGCTCAGCCTTTGAGAACACTTCTTGCTCCTCCCCAAGATCAGTTTCCCAGCTCCTGCATGGTGGTTGACAACTGTTGCTCCAATTCCAATGGTTCTGATGTCTTCTTTTGGCCTCTGCTGACACCAAGCATATGCTGTGGTACATAGATATATATCCAGGCAAAACACGCATAATACGTTTTAAGAAATGCTTAAAACCAAAAGTTTAAAAGTGGCTGGCTCACTAAGGTAGAAAATATACAAAAATAAATAAATAAATAAATAAATAAGATTTTTTTTTTTTTAAAGGCAGAAGCAGGATTGCTAGTTCAAGATCAGCCTGGGCTTCGAGGCTATGACAGTTTTTGTTTGTTTGTTTTAAAGATAATTTACTTCATGAGTATTTTGTCTGCATGTGCCACACACATACCTGTTGCCTATGGAGGTCAGAAGATGTTGTCTGGTCTCCTGGAGCTGGAACTAGCTGGTTTCCAGTTAGGACCTACCACATGGGTGCTGAGAACTGAACCTGGATCCTCTTTTGAGAGCTACAAGGGTTCTCAACAGCTGAACCTTTTCTCTACCCCAGGACAGTTTTTATAAAGACTCACAGAGTCCACAAAATTACTCCTCTCTGTCTTAAGGTGTTTGAAGAGTGAGGCTTCTAGCTTTATTTGCCTATAATATGTTTGAATAGGAAAAGATCTGGAAGAATCCAGGCTGGTTTAGTTTAGTTTAGTTTTTGTTGTTGTTTTTTGTTTCTAATGTGGTGGCCTCGCTGGTAAAGGAAGACTCTTTCTTTTCACTTTACACATAGGATTGGGCTTTTTAAAGTGTATGAGCATGCTTGTGGTACAATTCAAACTAAGGGGAGGCAGATTTATGAGGTAGGGACATGAGCAGTGACTTTATCTTTGTGCTTTTCTTTCTTTGCTCCAGTTTCACTAGGGAACACTGAAAACTTTTATGACAGTTATAATTAAATGGCACTTAGAAACAGAAAACCCAAAAAACTAAACATAGCCTGGTTGCTCCGGCTTCTGTGGCCTCCCCACCCTTCCCTGGTGTTGGCTGGGTCTGCATTTGATCTGCCCTTGCTGTGTCACACAGGCATAAATCACCAGAGAAGCATCATCAGCAGGCATGGGGGAGGCCGGCCAGCAGACAAGGCTGCTGGAGAGAGGCTGAGTGGGAGCAAACGGAAATCTTCGCCTCTCTGAGGTTGGAGTTGGAAGCAAGCAGGTCCTGAACATCTTGAGAACCAGTTATGCCCCTCTGCAAGGCCTGTGTTTTTTGTATGATCAGCCCTATTAAGTGTAAAATAAACTCTGATTTGTACTAAATTATGTGTGTGTGTGTGTGTGGGGGGGTGTAAATATACTCAGAGT